ATTTTCTTAAGTAAAACTAATTATTAGTTTAAGATAAACAAATTAAAAAAAATTAAAAAAAAATTAGAGATGAAGAGGCAATACTAGTGTTTAGGAGAAAAATCAAATATTTCACCATATAAAAAAAAGAAATATATATATATATATATATACACGGATTATAAGTGGATAGAATTGCAACATAGAACAAACAATTATAAAAAATTAAAAATTCTATTTAGAAGCAGGATCTATTTTGAGCAATTTTACACAAATTATCATTGATATTTTGTATATATAACTGTATAATTTGCGTTGGGAACTTACCTTAGAATATAAGTTGTTTTGGAGAGAACTTAACTCAGAATAGAAGTTGTTTTGAAAAGAATTTTGCAGGATTAAGTTACTGGGTAAAATAGGAACAGCAAATAAATAAACGCTTTTTTCACATGAAAGTAAAATTTTTACGTGTTTTTTGGTGGAAAATTTTTGAGGGAAAATACTCCCGAGAAACTAAATTTTACATTAGGTTTCTCTTTCTATCTATCTAAACTCTAAAAAACTTTTAAAAATTTCTCTTTCCTTTCTTTTCTAGCTATTTCCACCTAGCCAAACAAAGCCATAAATGTTAATTGTCACTTTATTCGGGATTTGCCGATGAAGAAACAAATTGTCACTCCTTGTGTTTGCTCCGATGCTCAAGTGGGCTATTTTCTCACGAAGCCTTTACCTCATGCTCCCTTTCGACGTTTATCTTCCAAGCTTGCCATGTTTGACTTATCTGCTCTAGCTTGAGGAAAAGTGTTAAAATTATTTTATTTTAGTGTTAATTGTTATTTTCTTTGGTTATATTACATTGTATTTATCTACATTCTAATATAAATATATGGCATGGTGAAGGGACATACTCTTTTTGCAAGGTACCTTGAACCTTTTATCTGATCACTTTCTCTTCTTCTCTCCTAACCCTTCTCCATATTTTACATTCATACTAAACAAACATTCAATAGACAAGAGAGACGTAAAATGCGGGACTATGAATTGATAAAAGTGGAAGCCTTGAAATCTTAACGTCACTAGAAACGATTCAGCTCATACATTCAATTTATACAAAGAGTTCATCTAAATTAATGAAGTGATGAATATAAAGAGGTCTGTGGTTTGCCAAAGGATAGAAGGTTTGGTGTCAAATTTAAAATTTGCATACCAAAATGTAAAATTAATTCTCGGGAAGAAAAATAATAATAATAACAAAGAATAATAACTTTTACCCAAACAAATCAAAGAGTAATAATAAAGAACTCAAGATGAGATGATGAAAACACATTCAAAGGCTAAATATTAAAAAGAAGATAGAAACATTTTTTATGAGAGCTTCTCAGTAAGGCTAAGATCAACCACGAGAAAGATATCAGTAGTTTTATCTTCTTTCCATTCACATAAGAAATTCGAAGTTACAGATCCACAAAAAGTTATATTGTTTTCGCCTACTCAGTCAAGCACTTATAGACTTCACAAAATTACAAAATAGGTACCCAAAACTAACAGTCCATAGTTAGCAAAATATTCAAACTTTATGAGGTTGCAGCAAACGTATGCTTCAACTCCACAACTCCAGATATGCAGCTAGTCCAACAAATGCCATCGATGCTTCTTCGATTCGTTATCAGAACACCATCAATTTGCATCAAGTTCCATTTCCCTAAGTTCTGGCAATGAAAGCGCTTTAGTCTCTCCCTGCACTTTGATTCCCGCACACCTACATCAAGAATCATAATTTTAAGAGCATAATCCTCAAACGAACAAAAATTTAGATGCTCTAAATAATTATGATGCCAAAATTTTCACAAAAGACTACTGCATAGCACATGTATTCATGCAATCCACACAATCACTGCAACCATCTATATGGTTCATAGCAGAATATAGCCACCACAAAGAATACCGTTAAATTTTTAGCTAGCAGGGATTCAAAACTAAATAAACCAAACATGATTATGACAAATTCATGGATCAGAGCCTACGTGGGCAATCTTGGCATTCTCTTTGGACAAACATTTCACACATAGTAACCAAAAAGGGGTTCAAGCCCAATGGCATGGTATAACTTTCCCTCCTCAAGATGAGGGGAGGGGTTCGAGCCCCGAAGTACACAAAAGTGTGAGTACTTACCTGAACTTACACACGCCCACACAAAACATTTTACACAGTACTTCCTATTAAAAAATATTTTGATATATGACATAATTCTCCATAACTTCTTTAGAACTAATTGGAAGATGATATGTTTTTATTTTATATTTTCTGTTAGACAACTTGAGTGACTAAATATAATACCTTAAGTTATGCCCCTGCTGCATGGTTATAGGAGAAAACTATACATGGGATAAGGAGAACTAAAGTTATACATCCAGAAAACCAGTACATATCTATAAGAATGGTAACATAACAGTAGTAGGCTCTCATGTAGAGTAGCTCAAGGCCCTTGATCTAGACCTAGAAGGGGAGAGGGGGGGAATAGAACATGAAAGCTAAGTTCACGACCTTTAACTAATTTCTGAATTTTGACTTAATTGGATAATTATTCGAAAACTAAATTACCAAAAAAAACAATTAAACTACTCAATCCATCATGCATCCAAACATAAAACGAATCAACCTTTCAAAGTAATAAAAGTAAATACCACAAAGGGAAAATCCACGGGACCTAGTCCAAATCAGATCAAACAAACTATAGAAGAAAGGAAATTCACAACTAGGTTAAAAGTTCCAAAACCTGAAACCTCTAATTAATTCCTGACACAAACTGTAGTCAAACGCTCCACTAGAGTGTTCAGGCCTTTAGTCTGCTCTGTCAATCAATCTGCTCCTCACACCATCTGCTTCTCGCAAATTTGATCAGTGACCCAGTCGTACAATCTGATCCTTGTAAAGTATCTTTGCTTGTGTTGAACTCGTTGTAGCCACAACAACACTGAATAGTCAAACATACTATATATATTCCCTCACCACTCTATTACAAATGCTGAATGAAAACAAAAACTTTACCAAGGGATTGCTAGAATACTCTCAGAAATACTGTATATAGCTATACGATGCATGCACTCTTTCTTGCTTAATGGTGAAAAGTCGATGTATTTATAGATACCTAGAAAAATTGGGTTTTGAGAGTTTTAATCAGAAAAGAAAACTGGTTTTCTACAAAGTAGAGTGTCTGTTGATCTACGCCACTCTAGTGAGTTTTGATCCAATGAGCTTTGATTGATTATTTGATCAATCAAAGTCCACTGTACTTGAGTACTTAGGTTCTTCAACCTTAGTATTTTCCAGAAACACAAACATCCAAACCAAAATGGATTTTTCAGAATCAAACATGAATTACATGACATTTTAGGAAAAAAAAAAAAAAAAAGAAGCAAAAATCCATGAATTACATGAAACTCTAATTGATGAATGCATGAACCCTGATAGGGTGACTGCATATATGAGTATCAAATTTACCTTTATAACCTTCAATTTCAATTGTTTCCATGAACAATAGGTAATTAAGTTGACATTAACTAACATTCAAAAACCTAACTAAAAAAAGAATAAAAGATATAGATTCAAGCGACAAAAATTTTCAACCTAAATCTTATTGGCCAAACAAATACCAATGCCTAGATTGAACAAACACCTAGATATCCAGAAAACATTATATTTATATAATGGAATTAAATTAAAACGTACAAAATATCCAAACAATAATTAATCAAACAAAACAATAAAAAAAGAAAAAGAAAAAAGGCTCCCAACTGCTTCATAATGATAAAGTTTGTCAACAAGGCAAGTGAAAGTGTTCATGAAGTAAAGAATAGTTAACTCAAATCAATGGCAGGTATTTTGTGTGTGCACATATGCATTAGCAACAACCAAATTTGAAGCTAATCTCCACATCCAAACACTAACATTCTATATGCTATACACTTGAGAAGTAATACATATCACAATTAATAATCATGCATTTCTAATTTAATCTTTCAGTAATCATATATGCTTTAAGAAGGTCGAACTACCTCTCAAAAGGGTGTAAAATCAGAGACACGGTCAATTGTTTTTCTTTGGGGGCAAATGTATACGTATCATGTCTAGGAATTATAAGGACACAATGCCTAGTCGAACATAATAGTTTGAGTTGCAAAACTTGAGAACGCTGTGACCGTAGACTAATGAATTTGAGCTGTGGACTATAAGGTTTCTTACCAATTGTAACAACATTCTTGATTGCAAACAAGTTACATTGAATTTCAGTATTGTAGAAAACTAGTGTTGTTATTTAAGTTTCATCATTAACAAAATCTAGACAAAACACCAAAACAGTTGAGCCACTTTTAACTATAAATTCATTCTCAAAACCTTGTTAGTACCCTATGCAGGCCCTCAACTCATTCCTATGCAACCCCACACCCAAACAAGAAAAGGAAAAAAGAAAAAAGCCAACAACTCATTTTTCATAACCCATATGTCATTATCAATGGAGATGATCAACTTAAAAAGACAAGAAAATCAAGTCCACACAAAATGACCACTTAAAAAGAAACGCTCTTGAAAGCATGTTCCGGAGAAAAGGAGGGGGAATTAGCAAGAAAATGATTTATATATGGTTCCCATAATTTCCCAGAGTACATTAGTGAAGAAGTATATGAAGTGAACATAAGTGAAATGAATGGTTAAAGTGAATGTAAATTGCAAAAAATCTATTGAATGGTTAAAGTGAATGTAAATTACAAACAAGCAAATCCTTACCATGAACTGATGTTCAGCACGACCACATTATCTCCAACAATGGCGTCCTTAAGTGAAATGAAACTGGGAATATAGACATTTGCTTCAAATTTTGATTCAGTACCATGAATCTTAAGATACTTAAATTTTCGTCTTTCCGAGTCCTAACAAATCAGAGCACGTTTAGGATAATGAAACAACAATACTGTCCCATTTTTCAGGTAATTTACTGGCTGATATAAACCATAAGGCCACCCCTGATCAGGTTGATTATCAAAAGAGAACAACCTTGTCCAAGATTCCCGGACACCATATTCCTTCATGACCCATATGTCAATGTGATCGTAATTGGCATCACATATGCACAGTCTTCCAACACTCCCATGGACACATTATGCTTCGTATTCAATCCAACCATGCCGATGCCATCATCTTCAACCGGATTATCATATTCATTAGGAGGCGATGGAAACAATTGCAAATGCTCATTATCAAAGCTAAAAGAAACTGTACTAGTTTAACTAGATTTGCTAAAAGCGAACATATAATCAGTAGAACTAAATTCAAGACTGATCAGCCAATGGACACATCCCTCCAGATAAGTGGAAAACACTAGGGTAGAATATAAGAAGGGAGCATCCTCAATGCTTTTCCATGATCCTGAGTTGCCGAGACTGTATATCTCAACTCCATTACTATAATTTATCGGACCCCAAGCAGGTGTGTTCATATATGCCATACCCATAACGGGATCACCACTCCACCATTCAAACATTCTAACCACCTTGTACTGATCAGTCCGACGACTAAAGCCAAACCCACACTCAACAAAATATTGGGTTTTCTCCTCAGCCCTTTTAGTCATAGGAAGGCTTATATACTCACCCGTAACTGGATTACACACAGCCACGGGTTCATTAGACACCGGTTCAGACAAACAGAGCATACCATGGCAAGAATTCACAATTTTGAAATTTGGGCCATTAGGGAGGCAACCCATTTGTGCATCACCCCCTTCACTACTGAGCACCATTTCGGCATTGCGCAATGGGATCTTCAATTTGTTGTCAAGATTCATATGACGGTCACATCTGAAATCGGCCTTGTCGTCACATATGCAGCATCCAAGATCGAAATTATGGCAGTCTTTAGGCTCAACCAAGTAAAGCATTCTTGAGTCTGGAACTTGTGTTGAATCCAAGGTCCGAAGAAGAGCACAGGGCTCTGCCTGTGCAAACTGCAGCTTGGCAAATTGAGGTTTAGAAACTATACTGAATCAAGTTTTGCAGACACACTTGCAAACTAGAATACCCTTTACAGGGAGCTTTAGTAGAATATCAATGATGATAGGGCTCGGAAGATCTGTGATTGAAGACTCATACTTGTCTCCTTCTTTCTGGGTTGATTTTTCTTTCCCTTTCATGTCCACTGTTCTAAGAATCTATGAAATGGATTTTGAAGTCAGTTACAGTGAATAGAGCGCTGATTCAGTAACATTTGGGGAATTATACATATTTACGAGTAGCACACAAATCCCTAGTTAGAGAATAAAATGCTACCACACAAATCCCTAGTTAGAGAAATTACAGATACCATGAGAGATTTAAAACAAAACCCTAGTTACAAACGACAAAATAAATACTATGACAATGTGTGTGTAAATATAGAGGGAGAAATACCTCTACAAATGTAGGGCAACCTTGAAGTGATGTAGAAACGGGGAATCCGCATAGAGGGACGAAATGGCGCGTAGTTGAGTCGCTCCAGAAAAACAGTAGAAGACAGTGGACCTCTACAAATATTGCAACAAAATGATAATGTTACTTTTACCAATTGATATTATAAAAGAGTTAAGTGCATTAAACCCCCTCAACTATAACCTAATTGCAAGAAACCCCATTAAAGTAAGTAAAACTCCTTAAATTATCATTTTGTTGCACTTCGTCAAGAACCGTCAAGGAGCCGTTAATAGAAAATGAAAATTACCATTTAACCCTTCGTGTTGAATTTTTTTTTTTTTTAAATTATTATTATTATTATTTTTGTATAGGCTAATGTAACAATTATAATCTCTATGCCAATGAAAATCGGCCAACTCAAATTATTTTATTGAAGTGGACAAAAACAATTCTCCACCAATAAGAGAATGACAACTCAATTAGTGGAGAATTATATATATATATAAATTGTAATTCTTCTCTATCGGCAGCCACCACCACCCCCCTCTCTGTGTCCATCTCGTTAATAATATTTCTTGGGGCCAACAAGAAATTGAAGGAGATGAGAGGAAATTGTGAAGTAATAACATCAAAATTTCAAAATGGGTTCCAATTTAAATAGGTTGTATATTGGGATTGATCGGATTTGATGCATGTCTCTCTCCATTTAAATATGTTATTTGTTATGGTCGGAGATCGGCAAACATAGACGGTTGACCTTTTTCCGACGGAATTAATCTGAATTCACGGTTCAAAGAGCATTAGTAATCACTACAAATTGTTTATTATATAGCACCTTGGAAATATGCTAAGAACAATCCTTTCCCAGATATAAAACTCTTAAAGCAGGGAAGATAAATTATTATTTATAGTCCAAGCACCATTCAAAACCATACCATTCTCATAGTCTTTGCTATCAAAATCTCATACATCCATAATTGGCCTGAAGAAAGAAATCATTTTCACCATTGAGAGCATCATATGCTGAGAACAAATCCAAGAAATTGCAAACGAGGACTTGGTCTTGAGTTTGGATATATATATATTCATCATATCCCAAGAACCCTCAAATTTGAAGCCCCAATTTTCAGTCTCAGCAAATCCTCTCTCGTTCGCCATTGATTTTCAGCAAATCCTTCTCATTTGCTCTCAAATCTCCATATTCAGGTGACTCGATCTCAAATCTCCATATCCAGTTCAGTTCCATTGCTCATCGGTAAACTCACCGGCATCTTACAAATTCATCGCCACCATTGCCGTAATTCATTGAAGCTTCGCGACTCCTACAGTCGTTACCGCCACCGTTCTGATCCGTGACCATCATTAAGAACAATCGTTGCCGTCCCGTGGGTTCATCCTCACTCGCCGCCGCCATTTCAGTTCAACTCATTGCCGTCTGCCCATGTGGTTCAGCACCACCATCGCGAATAGTCATTGTGTTCTCCGGTCAGCTCGTCATCGCCGAGCACCTCTGTCACTACCGCTGTAGAACAAACCTACTTCTCACCGGTATTGAAGTTCTTGTTGTTGCCGGAGTTGGAGGCCAAAGAGAGGGAGGTGGATTGGGAAGAGAGCGGTTGTGGTGGCGGCCGTGGACGGTGAGGTGGTTGTGAGGGAAAAATATTCAATAGGGGAGAGAACCGTGGCGGTGTCGGTGGTGGCCATGAGCGAACGGTGGAGGTGATGGCCATGGGCTGATGTTGTAGGTTGTTTGAAGAGAAAGGAGGGATATATATATATATATATATATATATATATATTTGTGTATCTGTATATGTTATTCCTCTCGGTCTTCGTTGACGATACATTGGTGTATAAGCGAACTTTACACATTCAAGGTTATTTTTGTCTTTATTGATTTTAACCTAGTCACGTGAGTCATGTGTCTTCTTTGGACGTTAGTTTTTAAACGGCCCACTAACATTTTGCAACAATTGAAATAGTTTAGGGAGTGAAGTGTACTTCACTTAGTTCAGGAGGGTTTATTGGGAAAGAGAAGAAAGTTGAGGGGGGTTTAATGCACTTAACCCAAATGACAAGAGAACATTTGTATTAGCGGTCTGGAGAAAAATGGGCGGAAAAGAGAATATGGAGGAGGCATGGCGAGATGAGAAATTATTATAAGATCATATAATTTTAAAGCCTTTGTTTGTTATTTTTCTTAAAAAATATATTTTTTTAAGTATAATATTATTTTATTTTTATTTTTGTTAGTGTTTGATAAAGGTGTATTTTATAATTGAGGTCGAATTCATTTGGTTGTGCCTGTAAAATAATTTATCCAAAATTAGACTTCCTCTTGAGCTGAATGTTAGGTTTCAGTTAACATCACTTGTTGGACCTTGTCTAGCAAGTGATGGACTTTGTCATGCCAAAAAAGGGGGGAAAAAAAATAAAAAACACACGAAAGATGGGAGTTTGGTCATCACGAAGCTAGGAGGTAGGATAAACCACAATAATTGAAGGATAAATGAAGAATTTCATTTTCGTATTTTCATATTGGAAAAGAAAAGGGAATCAATTCTCAGGCGACAATGGATGTAACATGTAACATCTATAAATAAAGGCCATACTCAATTTCATTTTCGTATTTTCACATGTAACATGAAACAATTCCATACTCAATTGTCTTCTCTTTTCCTTATTTAACTTAATCATTGGAGATCCTTAGGCTGCTACCACACCATTGCTGCTTCGATTATTCTCTCTCTTATCTTTTAGATACGACATCGTCGTGAAATTTTGCGTCAACACTCCTTATTCCTTTGTTTTAATTATTTTTATTGTTGATGCATGAGTTGGGGTGAGTTGATGCTTTAATGGGTCTGAGTTTTCTCGATAAACTTCACAAGTAAATGGGACAGCGGTTTCCCTAGCAAGGATTTTGATTCAAATTTGTAGTATAAATTGCATAACAAAATGCTTACACGTAGTAGGTGTTTTGCTTTCAAATCTCAACAAAAATGTGACATATTTATACAAAAATAGACATAATTTTGTCAATCATTTTCCAATTATTCAATTGATTTTTCTCTACACTAAGATTTTTCTTGTCATAACACATCTTCCCAGCTCTAATCTCCATCCTTAATCGATGCACTGCATGTTTTTTCCTCAGTTAAGAAATTGTCAGAGAATTACAAGGTGAGGCCCAAGGGCCCAAGACAAAACTCGAGGCCTCATGCTTAACAATCTTTGACTTTTTTTATTTTTTTATTTATTGTCATTAACAAGAAATTCACACACACAACTTACACATTCATTTTGTTCTTTTTGGAAAGTAAACCCTTATCACTCACTTTGAAATATAGAGAAGATACCATTAAGCCAGAAAACCCGTAATTTTTTATTGTTAAAAAGCTTCAATTTTAAATTAAATTTTTTTCGATTCTAATTTGAAGCGACCCAACATAATATTAGTAACTTGACAAAAAAAAATTAGATTCCATAAAAGTATAATTATCTTATAATAAATAAGAATTGACTTTTATTTGTGCAATCATATATTTTGTTGACTTTAGAAAATGACCTCGGCACCTTAAATATACAATTTAAAATCTAAATTACTCCTTTTCATAATTGAAATTAGAAAGCTCATAAAAATCTCCTCTGCTGTCAAATTGGTGCTTGAAAAAAAAAAAAAAAAAAAAAAAAAAAAAAAAAAATCATTAAAATTTAATAAATCCATCAACTAACAAGCTCATCATTTTATTCCAAACCTGACCCGTTAATTCGCCAGTCAAATTACAAATTTGATCTTATTATTTAATATTGAATTAAAATTTAATTTAATTTAATTTAATTTTTATTTTTTATTTTTTAGGGTTCACCCTTTCATTATTGACAACATGTCGATTGTCACCGAACACTTTCACTTTCCTTCCCTTTGATTTCACACACAGCTTTTATATATACACGTATTATATACACTGAAACGCATTTTCCTTGCTCTTTTATTCCAAATTTACATATGCTAAGTTACTAACCCCTGCAAAAGTATTAGTATATTTTTATTTGAATAATGATAGAGAACCCCGAAATAAAATACACGAAATATCCCCGAATCTTATGTGGCTATGCCACGTCAGCTTCTCATACCCTACGCAGCAACTCCTCCATCTCTCTCCTCTTTCGCCAGCATGACCCAACACTCAAAATTCCGGCAGTGTCTCTCTCTAAAACCTCTTTTTTTTTTCTCTCTACCCTCCTCCACTCCCTCACCACATCCATACTTGACTAGCATAATTTTTCTTCCTCTTTATCTCTCTCTAAATCTGACAAAAACAATCTTGGATTTTGGTTTTGGGCAAAAATTAGGGTCTTCGAATATGTGAATGTTGTGAACTATAATGGTGGGTACTGTGTGTTTAACTGAACCCTAGGATCTCTGGCACTGGTATGAACCCTAGAAGGTCTCCTCTATTACCTTCTAAGGTCGACAATAGTATCGCTGGTGTGATACCCTTCGATTCTAGAGTCACGGGTGATCAAGTCCGAGCACAGATTCTAGAGATACCAAACAATTAATATGTAATTGAACACGGAATACAAAAATGAATTAATAAATAAAATAATAAAAGCTGAAAGAATTCTAAAATATAATCCTCAAAACTTAAATAATTAAAATCCAATAATCCCAAAACTTTCCAAAATTAAATAACTCGAGAATCCATCTAGTGGATCCCTAATAAAATCCCAAAAAGAACGGTAACCAACTGAAATGAAATCCAAAGCTAAACCATGACAAGAAATCATACGTCGTCGAAAGAATGAGTGATTATCTCTACTCAGCACGAACAAACTCTAAGACTGGAACCATCCGATACCTGAAAAATAATAATGGGTCAGGTCCACGAACAAGTTTTATTTTAACTTCAATTCAAACAGAGACCCGATACGCAGATACATCCTATATACCTCAACAATAACTATCTAGTCCATACATATATATCCACACTAAGGGACTCTCACTGGACTACAAAGGGGGTCTCAACCTGAATAGAAGGCAACATGCAAAAATGCACCGGAGGTGGGCATGTGCACCTACACCTAACAGGGTATACCATAACCTATCATAGCCAGCTACGCATCCTACTGCATATACGCACCCTAA